TGCAGGATGGGCCCCAAGATCACCTGGCTGAGCTCTGAGAAAAGTGGCAGAATTGGCTTATTTTAGAGGCCATGTCATGTGGCCTTGTCTGTGGACTTGCTGACTTAACCCTCCCAGAGACTTTATTTTGAGCTTGACTAGGTCTTACAACTCACATCATTTGCATCTTGCAGATCTGAAATACTTTAAGCCTAATTAGAGGACTTGTTCATTCTTGTTAGGCTAGGTTGGTTTTAACCCTAGTGATCTCATGGCTTAAGATTATCCTTAGCCTTGGCTTCAGAGAGGTGACCTCCTGGGATATGATTTGTATTTCTCCTGGTTCAGCTCTGTCTTCCAGAGGTGTGCTCTTGTGGCTGTCCTTTTTCTGGCTTGACCTCCTTGATCTGCATTGGGCTGGGGGGAAGGGCATGGCTTTAACCAGACCATTCCAAAGGGAGAAGGTTGTTTGATCTATCTGCTGCCAGCATTCTTCTGATCAGAAGGTAAGCTCTTCTTCATTGTGCTTCTCTTCTCTTCTAGCTGTTCAGTCAGGAGACGGTGGTGAAGGCTGTGCCACGGTATAGCCTCGTCCTAGAACTCAGTGACAGTGGTGCCTTCCGGAGAAGCCTTCATGATCCCGACGGGTTGGTAGCCCCCTACATCAGTGAGGTGCATGAGCACAATGGGTACCTGTACCTGGGTTCCTTCAGGTCCCCCTTCATCTGCAGACTCAGCCTCCAGTCAGTTTAGCCAGCCCAGCAGCTCTCCTTGCCACGTGTGCTAGATGTTGCTGCCTTTGGCCACCATACCTGGTCTAGGAAGAACTGTAGATCCAGCTCTGTTCTATGTATCTGTTGGCCCTAAGGGTTGTGGTAGAAATAGCTGCAACCCCCAAGATGTGCAGGCCCAGAGTGGCACCCCTCATCTGGGTTTGATTTTACCTTTTGAGGGAACATATTCTGTCACGGGGAGGACAAATTTATGTAAAGCCACTTTCTCTTAAAAATGAAGCTCTCTAAGTACAATAATCTGTAGGACTTGTGAAACTTTATGCACTTTTAGCAGGGCTCAGGGTTTGATGGATAGAGCAGGAGGTGAGCTGCCCAGGGATCTTATTCTTGCTACTGACTCTGTTCTGCTGCTGGCCTAGGTGTCTTTATTCTTAAATAAGATTATTATTTTTTTAGGGGGGTTGGCATGGAAGGATGGGGAGCCTAGCATAAGATGGTAACTATTCAAGCTGAGACAGACTTGTGTTCTCAGGGTTGTGTGGGATGCTGGCCTTTGGTTCCTGGGTGTTCTGCCACAGTGGAGGGACAGCCCTGTACCCTCCACAGGTGTCCACATGCTGTGGCCCGGCCTTTCTTCATGCCACAGGTTTCCAAGGCTCCTGAATAAATGTCTAGCAAAAGAGCAAAAATTTCAATGGAGGGTGCTTTCTATGAATACTGTCCCCATTATACAGGAGTGTGTTTAGGATGTCATTTCTATACCTTCGTTTTTCATCTATAGCCCCATGGATGTGAGTAGTGCACGTGTTGATGTTGTGTTTGTGTTAGTGTTAATAAAGCCCTGCCAAGTTGCTGAATTATTTTTGATGAGTATGTCTACACACTGATCTTAATTTAGGTAATATTAAACTCATTTTTCTGCTGATTAACCTTTTTGATGGTGTGGCCTGTTTTATTTAGCCTTGTCAAGATGAGGATTATCTTGATGAATGAAGGTGGTGTTTGAGGGCTAGGCATCTCATCTGGTTTGCTAAGAATGAAAGCTACTGGGCCTCTTAGTTCCCAGTTGTCCTCCGCCATCGGCAGATGTCACTGATTTGTCTTGGATGAAGTTGTTAGCAGATGTCTCACCTGTTTGCCAGCCTACCCCATGGGCAGGCACTTTCTGGGCTTTTAAGAACACATGCAAAATTTTATCTCTTGGACTGCGTGAAATAACTTATTAGAGACAATATTGTAAATAGTGAACGATCCAGATAGGTGAAGAGAACGCAGAACTATGGTAAGTGGGAGCCATGTGTGTTGTCATCCTGGCCCCTCCCCCAGTACTGCTCAGGCCTTATTAGAGAAGTGCAGGGGTTTGGTGATAGGCCAGTCTTGCCTTATCTTGTGTCACCTTTTAGGACTGGCTTTGTGTGGAATAGAGCAGCAGTAGAGACAAAACAACTGTCCATAATACTTATATAACTTTTTAGAAAAGAAAACCAAGTAGTCATTATTAAATACTTCCTAGTAGCTCATGATATGTCTCCCTATTATCAGGTAGATAAGGATAATAAAAGGATACCTAATCATTCTGTAATAAAAGCAATTTAAAGGTACTAGGTCTGTAAGTTGACACCTCTATTCTTTGAGAACAGAGAGCTTTGCATTTAATGCTAAATTCTCACTGGTGAAAAGAAGCTGGTAAATTGTTTTTCACAGTTTTCAGCAAAGGAATCTTGATTTTGACTCAGATGTTGTTTTTATGTCTCCAAGTGTCATTTCCTGGGTTTTATCTGGTAATTTGGCATGATGAGGTGTGAAAGATAGTCTTACTATCTTTTATGCTGTAAGCATAAAAGGGTCTAATGTGAATTACTAACATGCTTTTAACATTAATTTAGTGATTCATAATGCTCTTCCATTTACTATAAAAATGGCATCAGAATTCAGTTATTGCCTATTATAGGAAAACTTTTGAGATTTTTTTTATTATCAGCATATACTTGCAGAGTGGTATATACCTTTGAAAGGTTTTCATGTACACTGATATCTATTTCTTTTTGAGACAGTGTCTCACTGTATTGCTCAGGCTGGCCTTCATCTCCTCGGATAAAGTGATCCTCTTGCCTCAGCTTTCTGAGTAGGTGAGACTATGGGTACATACACCATGGCTAGAAATTGAGGCACCAAGAGTTAGTGTCTGCCAGGACTTGTAGCCAGCACATGACTGAGCTGGGGCTCCTGATGATGTAAGTGAAGAATGAATTGGCTGCCACTGCAGCCTTTGGGCCTTTGCTAGGTTCTGGATATGACTTTGACAGCACAGCAGAGTCCTCTAAGGTGCTCAGGGATGGAGTAGCCTGAGTATCAGTGTGATTTGCAGCTTTGCAAGTGGTTCACATGGGTAGTAATAGGTTTAGTTTATTTTTTATTTTTTTGGTACAGGTTCTGGGGCTTGAACTCAGGTGTTGTTCCTGAGCTTCTTTTGCTGAAAGCTAGGACTCTAACACTTTGAGCCACAGCTCTACTTCTGGCTTTTTGATGATTCAATTCGTGATAAGATTCTCACAGACTTTCTTGCCCTGGCTGCATTCCAACCAAGATCCTCAGATCGCAGCCTCCTGAGTAACTAGAATTACAGGACTGAGCCACCAGTGCCTGGTGGGCAGTAGTTGGTTTGTGGGACAGTTTTAATGGACTATTAATTATAGTCCGGGCCCTTATGCCACCTACAGGGTTTGCTAAACTGAGCAGATGTTTGAAGCACATGACCGTGGAGCTGGCACGGGAAGAGCCTGTGCACATCTGGTGAGGAACATGTGGCCATGGTACATTGGTGAAAACTCTATAACTCTCAGAGCAGGACTCAGTTAGGATTATGCTGATTTTGTTCTGCTTGAGACCTTTTTTTGGTCATAATTCTGCTGTGTCTTTGAAGTGTAGGTACTGAACCTTGCATTTACTCAATGTCAATAGCATTAGATGACATCACAATTTCCCTCTGGTGTCACGCTAATTCTGACAATGTCAGGGGAAAGACAATAAACTTAGAACAGGTGAAACGTTTGGCAGTATAGGGTTTCCTTCTATCTCTGATTGACACTGTCTCCACATGAGTATATTCTCTCAGTTGTCATTGTGATTTATGATTGTTTCCTAAGGGACCTTCAGAGTGTGACTTCAAAGAGTCTCTCTGGGCAGTTAGGAAAGCCAGTAAAGCAGCTGTCTGTAGGTGGTAGTGGGAACAGAATGTCCTCAGGGACTGGACTGGTATATGTACCTCTGATGAGGCAGAGGCACACTTGGTTTCTGGAAAGCAATGTGGCAATGCACTGGTCAGCCTCGTTCCATCTCTTGTCACGGTGGCTGGTTTAAGAAATGGTATTTTCTTCTGGACTATTGGAGTATATCCAACAGATCAGGAAGACTGAAATAGTGATGTATTCTAAGTAAAGCCATTTGGAGTTCAGGGCCTTAGAGTTGCTTTGTAGAGAGCCTTCTGTAGTGGTTGGTTTGCCTTGCTATTAGAGCTGGGATAAATCCTCTCCCTAGATGGTGGGAAAATTTTGGGTGTAGGTGAGTTGTTAAGATCTGGAAGGTTGGGTTAGACTTTGATACTTTCTATTCTTCCTGGGGTGAAACAGCTAGAGGGCTGGCTGACCCCTGACTGAGGTAGGCTTGGTTAGGGCTAGGAGCTCACCAGCCACTCTCAGCAGGAGTAGTGCCCCTGTCCACACCTGGGCATGTGCATACCCACTTCAGACCTGTGAGGAGGGAGGTGGGGAGGCAGGCCTTGATGTACTCTGGTAGAATGGATTGGGAGGTATAAATGTGGGACCTCCCCCACATCTGCTTCTTCATCATTTGGAAAGCACACAGGGCTCTGTTCAGCACTGTTTCAATGTCCATCTAGCTCTGCAGCTCTGTGATTCCTTTGCCTGGCTGGCTGTAGGTCTTTATGAAAGAGCTGTGTTCAGGGGCCTCAGAAGTGGCAGAATAGCTAATGGTGTTGCTGCCATCGTGGTCCCTGAATTAAATGGCTAGGAGCTGAGTCAGGGCAGCAGAAAGGAATGAGAATTTGGAATTATGGTAAGTCCCATGCGTACAGGAAGCCAGAGGATATCTGCTCCTTGGTTACTTCCTCGGTGAAATTTATAGCAAGGAGCTATGGTTCCACGCATACTTGGTTCAGATTTCTTTTCCTACTAGTTATCAAGTCTGCATTGCTTCAAGGTGCTAAGATGTTGTGTGCTTTGCAGAGGGCACAGGAAGTCCTGTGAACAGCACCTGTACCTGCAGCTGAGGCTTCTTAGGACCAACCTCTTCTCAGAATAAAGCTCAGAGGCCCTGGCCACCAGCCAGTTGCTGAGCTTCTCTTCTGTGATCCAAGCCCATATCCCCTGCAGCTCAACTTCAGTACCTATCTTTGCTTGGGGCCTGGCATTCAGTTCCCTCAGTTCCCACAGTTGCCTGTCTTTTCTCCCTGGCCCATGCATATCTTTTCTATCCCCAGGCCATCTTCAAGCAAATGGCTCTGTGGGGATGGTCCCTATCATCTGCCATAGACCACCTGTCCAGGTATAGCTTCTCATGTACTGAGGGCTTCCAAACCCTCCTGCCTTAAAGGCAGTGGAAAACTAGAACTAAGGCACTGATACTGAAGTAACATGCCTGGAAAGCGGGCTCTTCCAGTTTGGGGATCAGTGTCCTGCCTGTTCTTGACAAGGACAAGCTTGCCTAGTTCTGGCTGCTTAGATCTAGCGGTTAATGACCAACAAGCATCAGAGGGGCTTTAAGGAAGGAAACAAAACTCACCAGACCACTCTGAGAATGGGAACTCTGGAAATGCTACCTTCAGCTTCCTGACTCCCTGTGAAAGGTGACTAGCTCTTTGTTCAGAACTTTAATCAACTACTGAAGGTCAAGAGATTAGTGGCATATCTGGCCCCCCACAGTGTTGTGCTACTGCTCAGACCAGGAGAATGATGTGGGGCTCTCATGGAGTCAAGGCAGTGAGGAAGCCCGCTGACTCTCAGGTTGGCCTCCATCTGCTCTACCCTGACCCCTACTCTAGCAATGCCCTGTAAGCCCAGACCCACAGCATCAGAACAATTAATTTTAGAAGAAAATGAGACATATTTAATCTAGGCAAGAGACGCTATCATTCTCTCATCTCAGCCACTGTGTATGACCCACTGGCACCTCCATCTGCCCATGTGGGAGAAGGACAGAGAGGGTCTCTGACAGCTGGCCCGGGGCTGCAGCCGAAGGTGAGGACGAGCTCACACATATGTCTGTTGAAGCCGAAGTCTGCTGAGGAGGCAGAAGGAAGTCAGTGACAGTAGAGAACAGGCACCTCGAAGCTCTGCAGCCAGGGAACATCCCAGACTTCAGAGTAGCAGTTCAGAACCTGCAACAGAGAAGGCTCATCTGAATACCCCATCTGCTACAGAGGCCCTGGCTATCTAAGGCAGCTCTCCTGGCCGCTCTGTGATTGAGCCTGGATAGCTAGGAACTGTGTGTGTGTGTGCGTATGTATATGTATATGTGTGTATGTGTATGTGTATGTGTGTATGTGTGTGTTCCTTGCTGAGGAAATACTCCGAGGTTGCTGCTGCTGCTGCTGTTGTTGTTTTTGGTAGTGGTGGTGGTGGTGTGTGTGTGTATGTGTGTGTTCCTTGCTGAGGAAATACTCCCAGGTTGCTGCTGCTGCTGTTCTTGTTGTTGTTGTTGTTGTTGTTGTTGTTGTTGGTGGTGGTGGTGTGTGTGTGTGTGTTGGTCATGGGGCTTGAATTCATGGCCTAGACACTATCCCTGAGCTCTTTTGCTAAACACTAATGCTCTACCACTTTGAGCTACAGCTCCACATCCTGCTCCCAGTTTTTATTTAAAAAGTCTAAACCTATAGAAGAGTTGAAAGAACTATTTAAAAATATATACTTTTGGGGCTGGGAAGGTGGCTCAATGGTAGAGTGCTTGCCTTGCATACCTGAGGCCCTGGGTTCGATTCCTTAGCACCACATAAGCAAGAAGAAAAAAGCCGGAAGTGGCGCTGTGGCTCAAGTGGTAGAGCGCTAGCCTTGAGCTGAAGAGATGAGGGACAGTGCCCAGGCCCAGAGTTCAGGCCCCACGACTGGACCCCCCAAAAAAATTAAAAATATATACTTTCACCTCTATAAATTGTTAACTAAGATGGCAAAAAAAGATTCAATACATATGCTAAAAATTAAGAAAAGTGAGGGAAAGGGTGGGTTAGGAGGGGTGAGTGAGAATGTTGAAAGTGGTGACATTGGTGAAGATGTACTGTATTCATAAACTGCTTTGGTGAATGACAACTCTTTTGTACAACTACTTAAAGATAATAAAAATATTAAAAAAATTATTAACTATTGCCACATTGCTTTCTTATGGAGATTCATATATATATATAACATGTCTCATACCATACATGATATATATATAATATCATGTTGTATGATCTGTCATATTTCATGGCTAATATATGTCATGATATATGTATAAATATATATAATTTTATAATTTTTGAGTCATTTGAAAGCTTGTCTTGTTCTAATCTCTCCACCCCAAATCCATAGCATTTCTCTCTTGAGATGTGCCACTTAGAGAGTACAGAGGTTGCACAGGTAATATGTTCCTGAGAAAGTCCCTCTTCAGTGCTCCCATGTCCCTGTGTGGTATGGGAATACTGGAGATCTGACCTTACAAGGGAGGTCTGAAAGCCTCCCCATAGAAAGGTGACCACTGCCTGGAGGAGTGTGGAGAAGAGCCTGGGACAGAGAAGGCAGCCACAGCCCATCTACCTTACCCACTTCAGGGTGGGGCTGGTTTGGAAGTTACAGCTGTCCAGAGGAGGAGAACTGTTTTTCTTGCACGTAGTTCTACTGACTTCCAACATCAGCATGTATTTCAGGCCTTTTGAGATCTAAAGAGAAGCAAAGGACTAGGCTTCTTGGTTACTTAGCACAGGGTGAAAGTGGTTTCTATCTTGTGCTAAGTAAGGAGGGTGCTGGGGAGTGAGGAAAGTTTAAGACTTGCTACAACTGCTGCTGGGAAGGAAGTGGGCCTGGACTGCAACCCCTCCCTCTTTACTGCTGCTGACAAGGGCGTTCTACCCAAGAAAGGATGGCTTATCTGCTCAGAATTCCACATTCAGGAGAGATGCTGTTCTCCCCCCCACCCCCTGCAACCAAAGGTAGAGCCTTGCCCCTCCCTCCATCTGCCAGCTGCACCTACCCCACAGCCCTCACAGTGATGTTTAAAGGAATGGGACAAATCCAGGTTTCCAAGGTTCCCACACCAAGCACAGCATTTGCTGGTTTCCCCCTCCCTGTGCCTGGGAACCATGTGTTTTATTTGGAGTTCTAGAATAGGCCTTCTTCACTTGGATATGGCAGTAACCTAGTTCTCCTCCCTTCTTCCCTCCCTCCCTCCCTTCCTTTCTTTCTCTCTCTACAGTCCTGGAGCTTGAATTCAGGGCAGGGGTACTGTCCTTTTGTGCTCAAAGCTAGCACTTTGTTGGTGGTTAATTGGAGTTAAGTAGTCTCACAGACTTTTCTGCCCAGGCTGGCTTCAAACCACAATCCTCAGATCTCAGCCTTCTGAGTAGCTAGGATTACAGACATGGGCCACTGGCACCCTGCTCTTCTCATGTCTGGTTTCTGCATAGTTGTGGGAAAGTTCCTTAATTTTTAGTCTCTCCCACCATATGCCACCTGAATAAAGTCCCCAATATTACCAAGGCAAAGAGGGGCAATGTCACATCCTCAGAGGATCTTGGACACTCAGGTCCAGAGCGTTGCACTGGCCTCTGGAGAAGGCAACACTTCACTCAGGCAAGATCCAGCCCCTCTAGCAGGGTTACCACAAGTTCTGTGATGCCGTTAGTCTTAGATGAAGGCCACTCCCACATCCATCCTCTCCCCTTGTCATTCATCTGAAGCCAGCTTTCCATGCTTGCAGATAGCTGCTCAGTGTTCCTGGGTTTAACAAGTCACAGAGATCAACAGGGAGCCACCTCCTGGTTCCCTATCATCACTTTTAGATTCCCATCATCCACATGGGCATTTTGGGGACACAGTTGAGCAAGGCTGGTTATTTTCTGTAGGGCCCCCTCTGGCTGTGGGAGAGTAGTGAGTGGGTGTGAGAGGTCATTGTGAAGAATAATAGCACTGTAGGGTGTGACATGAAGCAGGCTCGAGGCAGAGGGTTTGTAAGGGAAGGGAATGGCTTGACATATGTGGTGGGGGAATATAACATGGAGTGAGGAGTGAGGCTGGAACGGGGGTCTGGGGACCCTGGCAAGAGCATCTCTGATCTGCAAAGCAGTGACTCTGCAGGGCTGCCCACTTCTATGAGCTCTATTACAGCCCCCACCTCCTTGCTTCCATTGATGAGGTCTGGCCCGGAAGCCTTAATTAAACCTGCTGGTTTAAGTTGTGCTCAGCTCCAGGTGACACGACACTGGTTTTGGTGTTGCCTTTAGCCTTCTGTCTATAGATGTGCTCTAGGTGGTTGGGTGCTACAGCTCTGCTCCTCAGGGATGTCCCTGAGAAGCTAATGACCAGACCCCCACCCTGCATCTGTACCAGAGCTTTGCTGACTCGGAACTCTTTGAACAAGAAGAGGTCATTCGTGCAGTTGTTGAACTTCTGTGCGCTGTGTCTGGCTGCTTTGAGGACTCCTGCGTCATTGGTCCTTATTAATTTGGGAAATTCTGGCTTCAAATCTGAGTTAAGGACCTGGGAACAGAAATCTGGAAGAAACAAAAGAACCAGAGAAGATTGATGATGGTCGGACATTTAATCCAAGTGTCCTGCCTTGTGCCAGGTGGCATCCGGACTCTGCTCATGTGGATCCCGGCCCCTCCTTCACCCACACTGTGTACCCATCACCTGTCTACCCCCACACCAGGCATGAGCTGGGCTTCCCCATAGTGGCTCCATATTGGAAGCTGAGGATAGAGGCCATGGATGGGACAAGGATAGGATTGCTGCTTTCCAGTCTCTGTCGTCAGAAGCCAGTTATTTTCGGCATGTGGTTTCCAGGCAGCTGGACCTCTGGACAGGATGTGGTCTTTAGGGGTTAGGAGAAAGCAGACTAGCCTAGTCCTCAAGGCTGCTGTTCAGTGTCTGGCTTCTTCCTCTCATTTGTCCCGGCCAAGGAGGCCATGTTTGTGTTTGGCCCTGCAACCCCTCTGGTAGGGAGCTATACTGGTTTCCCCTCAGCAGCTCTGCCACACTCTAGCAAGGGTCGATCCACCCACTCGTGGGTTTCAGCTCAGTTGGGCACAAAGGCCTCCAGCATTCTGAAGCATGATGGTCCGTCCCTATGTACTGTCGATTGAGGTTCTCTGGGTGCAATTCTTTACTGTCCTATGAGTAAATGTCATCCCATGAGCTTTGACTGTGGATCCTGGCATGTGAGGGAGGGAGGGTGGGCAGGCTGAGTTTCTTCCTCATTTCCCTGCTCTTTCTGTGCGGGCGGGGGTGGGGAGAAGCCCATATTTATACAAAAGATGAGGAAAGAAGTGTGAAGAGCTTCTGCTTCCAGACGGGTTCCCCAGTGTCTTATGAGAGAGCCAAGTAGGGACACCCCTGCCATTCCTCCTTGGCTGCTCATGGCTGGCTGCTTTTGGTAAAGTGGGGCTGGTAGACTCTGAGAGGACTCCCCAAGGTTCCTGTTCAAATCTGGCTCCTGGAAAACCTGTTGTTTATTCCTTTGCTCAACTCATCCATGAACACTTGTAGAACCTGCCAATCTCCTTCCTGGGAAGAATAATGTCCTACAGATGAAGATCAACGCAAGCATCAAATGAAGAGACTTAGGGGAGTGGGAAGAAGGGGACCCAGGTGTTTCAGATTTAAGTGCAGATGGTCCCTGCGTGGGGTCCCTGCTGTGGTGCCTTTGGGAGGAAGGGAGAGAGAAAGAGACAGAGACAGAGAGACAGACAGGTGGATTGATTTGAGTTCTGTCTCTCCATCTCCTCCTAGAGCTTAAAGTTTTGAATTGGGGCCTGAGGACGGGCTGTGGACAGCGAATGTCCAGCTTTGTCCCTGGAGGTATGCTGTACACCCCTCTGCTCAGTTACCTGGTCTCTATTGGAATTAGTCAAGGCCCTACCCCACTGGGCTATGCTCACTATTGTAATCCTAGCTCTGCCTCCATTGGCTGTGCAGCCTTGGGGAGGCTGCATTAATCTCTCTGAGCCTCCATGTCTCCATCTGTCAATGGGGATCACAACAGCACCAATCTCTCAGGGTGGTGATGAGAATATCAAACACAAAACACTGGAAGCAACCAGGTAATTGTTATCCAATGTCATTACAGTGTGGCTATAGCAAGGGTCTCTCTGTGCAAGAAAGAACCCAGAGGGTATGGAAGGTGGGTGAGTAGACTTCTCCAGGTCCAGACCCAGGCAGTGGTAGTTCCCAGGGCTCCCCAAGGAGGCCCTCTTGTCCCCAGAGTGTCTCTGGCCTGATACAATGCCTCAGCCCTTGCTGCAGGTGGCTCCTGGCCACAGGTCTCAGGCAGATGGGCTGCTGCCAGCCTAACTGGAAAGCGGGAGGGGGCAGAGTGACATGGTGGCCAGGGCTCTTCCTGGAAGAGGGCAGGTTGGGAAAGAAGAGTGTTACTTTTTAAACTAATGGCAAGGAGACCAATGTGGCTATTTCCTTCATTTTCAAGAGCTCAGCATGACTAGGGCCCAACATCTGTATAGTTTAGTTGGGAAGCCACATGCCCCCAAACATACTTCCTGTGTCTCTGCTGTCCCCTTGCCCCTCAACAGGTTCTAGAATCTGTTGTGAGGAAGTGAGGGAATGGCTATAAAGGATCATGGGGTGAATAGGGAGGGGACCAAATTCTTGGCTCTCTTTGACGCTCACAACGTCCATGCCACATCAAGTCTAGGAGCCTGAGGCCGTGACCCTTCCCTGAACCTGGCTTCTTTGCCTCCACATTGGACTTAAGGGCTCTGGGGCATTCCCTATCACTGGTCCTCCCTGAACATCCTCTGACTGGTCACCTGTAGCTGAGCTCCAGCCAGGTGTTATGCCACCTGCTGGGCTGTGTCCAGTGGCCAGCTCCCTTGTTAGTTAAATGAGTAAGAGCCTGTAAGTCTTCATCCACTTACGGGCTAGAGAGGGCATCACCCAGCCAGCTCCCTCAAGCAGACCCTCATGGCTATGTCATCTAGGCGAGTCACCTACACTAGCTATGCTCATTTCCCAGAACCTGGACAGTGCCTTCCTCTGCCTCAATTTCCAGAGAATAGGCAGTGTTCTCCTCTTCCCCTCTGGGCATCAGATATCTGATCTCTGGAGTCCCTGGAACCAAGTCATAGGACAGTAGCCTGTAGGCAGACAGGAAGGATAAGCCATCAGATGGAAGTGATGTGATCACAGTCCAGTTCCCATTCTCTCCCCCTGTCTCAGAGCCAAGAAGCAGAGAAGAGCAAATGATGCAGAGGTGAAGCAACACAAGACTCTTCCTCTATCCCAGCAGGGGCAGCCCCCACACTCTTCCTTCCTGAAGCTTGCTCCTCCCAACAGCTGCTGCGACCAGGACCCAGAGCCTCTGTGGATCCTTTGGGGGCAGACTAGAGCTGGGGAGGAATCCCAGGATGCACCTTAAAGCTGCCACCAGCAGCCTTAGCCGCAGCATCCCAGAGAGCATCCAGGAAACATTCCTCTTACCTGGGGTTAAGTTCCCACAGGTGCTGGAAGCAAGGCAGAAGAAGGCGAGTAGCACTTTGGCCAGCCACATGGTTGTCCTGGAGGATGGCAGTATAGTAGAGTAGTTTGAGCACAGCCTGGGCCAGGGCAGGGTGGGGACTGCCTCTTTGGGGCTGGGGAGGGGCATGATTTCTTGCCGAATCATTTGGACTAGAAGCTCTTCGTCTCCAGATCTATTGGCCACAAAGGCAACTGCTTCCTTTATAAAAGTTTCCAAGCAGCTGTCATTTGCTGGGGAGGGGAGGAGGGAGGAAGAGAAATAGACCTGTGAAAAAAATCCTAGTGTAGTATTCTACCCCAATCCATAGGGGAGAGATGCTGCAGTGAAACAAATGGGGGAAATGCTGCTTTCAGAAGCAGACTCACTTGATTTCCCTTGCCCAAATGCAGTTTCTCGTGCATGAGTGTGATTGGTCATATTTCCTCTGGCAGGGAATCTGGTTGCAAAGTATGATCACTGTCTTCACCCTTGGTGGAAGAGCTATTCCTACTCTCTGTCTGAGGGCATTCACCTTGCCTTCCTAGGGAAGGTCTGACAGCCTCGTATAAGGAGTCATCATGCAGTACAGAGCTGTCTCTCCTCAAAGTCTTCTTTACCATCTCCCTTTGCTTTGAGGCTTATAATCAGATGCAAATCCCAGCGAGCCCCTAAAAGGGGGATCCACAAGGAATTGCATTTCAAAGTTAAAGAAATACTTGACTTTGCTAATTTGTACAGACAAAAACCCAGGTAAGATTCATGGGAATGGATTGGAAGGGGTTTGGATAATGGCAGGAAGAACAGAAAGTTGGATCAGGTTAAACATACTGAGACAGGCTCAGTAAGCAGAGATCCTGTACTTAATGCTTCATCTCAGGGGGTTAGGAAGAGTTTGGTTGGTAAATTTTGTTGACACATGGACCAGAAGGTGGAAATGCTGGACTTGATTTGGTTTAATGTAGAAAACCATGGCTTTCATCTGGCAAAGCCTGGAGTTGTACTGTGACTCCTTCCTCAGGGCCTGTCAGCTCTGCAGCCCTGCATCTGTTTGGGGGAATCTTGGTCACTTTCCTTTCCTTAGGACCTTACAATGGTCCATTACATTAAGGGGCCATTAATGGCATTGTGCTAATTGGATCTAGTCAGCAAGAAGTAACTCTGGATTTATTGATGAGACATTTATTTATCACAGGGTAGAAAGTAAATCCAACCAGAATTTAGGCAGATTGAAATGTTAGAGTGAATTTGTTATTTAAGACTTATTCAAGGGAGGGAAAGTAGGAGAAAAATAGGGAAGGGATAACAAATTTGACAAGAAATATACTTATTACCTTACTTATATAACTGTAATCCCTCTGTACCTCACCTTGACAATAAAAAAAGACTTACTCAACCCACCGTGGGAGTGTCTACGAAGATAGACCTTTCACCACTGTGGTAAATAATTTGTGAGGGGAGCCTTAGCATCATTGAGAGCTCTGTAATTGTTCTTCTTCTGTACTATGGGAATGGCAGCCATTCAGTTGGGTAGCTTAGCAAGTGTTCACACTTGCTCTCCTACATCTACCTCATGGGGCTTTCCAACCATCAGGTGACAGAGGAAGAGACAAAAGTGGTCTATAGATAGAGGGTCTGTATGACAGGCAGACACCACTCAAGAGTGGGTAGTTGCAACATTATATCCTCTTTCAGGGATAGCCACTTTCTGGAATAGTCTCTTCCTGGGATAGGAGTCAAGAGCTATCATCTCCAGGCAGTGTACCTGGTAGTTCACTTGAAAGGAAAATGGCCATCGACATACTTATACACCAATGAGTGGGCTGTGGCCAGTGGTTTGGCTGGATCATATAGGACGTGGAAGTAAGATAAATAGAAAATTAACGACAAGGAAATCTGCTGAAGAGATAATGTGGAAATGTCTCTGAATGGGTAAGGGGAACAAAGAGATTTGTGTCCCAACTCACCACAGTATAACCTCTCTTCCTAAAGAGGATTTTAAAAACAGAGTGGATTGGGAGGTCTGCTTTGTGGATACCAGTCAACCCAGTGATCCAGTGATACCTGGTGGGGTTGCAGAGTGGCCACGGTGGCAGCAGCAGAGGCTACATAGGCTCAGCAAAAGGGACTTTCAGCAAGGTCTTTTGAGGTCTCCTCTACACTGGCTCTTCCCTGACATGAACCACAGAAGATCTCAAACAGAAAATGGATTATCAGGTGACCAGTGGAGTTTTAGCTTGAATCTGTCTCACAAATGGGTACTAGAACCATCCAGTGAAATTTTTGGTTTCTGAGCCAAAGTGAAGGCCATTAGTATTTTGGAGAAAGGTCTTGTCATCTTTCTTAGATGACCACTCTTGTTTTGAGATCAGCCAGTGGCCTGGGTATTAGCAGAGATTGAGTGCTTAAATACCAAGCACTCAGTGATTAAGAATCACCTAGCTGAGCACCCTAGCTTTGAAGAACCTCTACCAATATATATGGATATGGACATTTGTCTCTGGGTTTACAAGTGTATATTGTTGTGTCTTTGCATTTGTGTATTTATATAGTTCTCTCTGTGTGTCTGAGCATTATGAGAATGTTAAGTGCACATTTGTGGTTGTACATATGTTTGTGGTTCTATACATGTTTATGTGTGTTAGATGCATATTTCTGTGTATACTGCAGGTGTAGTGGGCTCTGTACTGAGTCTCAAGCATTAATTCATTAGTGAACCCACTCACTCATTTAACCCACTCTCTCTTTTAACTTCTTGCATCTGAAAGTGTAGTCCTTGGGCCAGCAAAATTAGTTTTCCTGGAGCTTAATGGAAACACATTCTTTGGCCCCATCTCAAACTCTGTGGCTAGCATAGGACTCTTCTCACACCTTGGTTCAGGAAGCTCATTGGCCTCTCAGATTTGGGGGACACTTATGTAACCTATTCTGTTATTCCTCCCTCTTTTCTCACGGACCTCTCTGGTCTGACCTCTGTGATCAATCTACCTGGTGATGACATTGGTCATTGTTTGGCCATGTATGACATGTGGCTTTGTGTACTCACTGGTCATGAAGCAGAGATCCTGCAGAAGAAACCTGGTCCCCAGGATGTGAGTGGATGTGGGAGGGATGAGGGGCAGGCCAGGAACTCCTGGGGTGGTCAAGCCAAGGCACACTCTTTCTCCTCAGGGTCTGTGGCCTCACCTTAGTGGGCTCTGAAGCTGCCCAGTGTGATTTTTCCAGATCCTGAAGATCTGGGACTTCCAAGGCTCAGCCCAAGTAGCTGGAATCCTCACTCCCACTCAGGTTGCTAGGAAACACTCTCCAAGGTGAAGGGTTCTGGAATCCCAGAGCTTGGCAGTGATAGGATGCTTGGGGTTCTTTTTCCCCTTTGGGTGGGTCTCTAGGGAGATCTGTGCTGCCTTGTCACAGGATGAAAACCAAGGAGGCTCAGCTGAGGTAGTCAGATCTCAATCTCCTCCATTAAATCTTCTGTAGCTTGTGCCTCGGGTCTAGACAGCAGTATTGTCTGTATATCTCTGGGCAGACCCTGCCTTCCGTGTTAGTTGGCCTGTTGCCATTCTACCCCCATCACTTTTGGAACCTGAAAAGAAATTCCACGGATGTGTGTTGTTTTCTGTCTGTTTTCTATTGCTCCTTAGCCTGAAGAACCATACATTTAGCAGCTGAAACCACAGGCCCCTTTTATCTCAGAGGGACTGGGGACCAGGCATCTGAGCCTGACTGGGCCATGTCTGCTGCTCAGGGCCTCATCAGTCTGCATCTTTCACAGGCTCACAAGGAAACCTCCACTTCCAAGCTCTTTGCTGGTAAATGGTAGTCCCCTGAGGACTGTCACACCAAGTGTCCAGTTCCTTACTGGCTGGTGGCTGGAGGCTACTTCAGTTCCTAGCCTCATGGGACTTTGCAATGTGGCTGTTTGCTTCTTTAAAGCCAGCCGGGGAAATAGAATTCTAGGAAAATGGGTTACAATCATAGAGGATGATATTGCAGAAGGGACCTCTTGTCACCTTCACTTTATGTTGCCAGTTCGAAGCAAGTTACAGGACCCAGCTTCCATCCAGGGGAGAAAAGATCTGGGGCCGGAGGTATGGGAGCCACAGTATAGAGTGCTGCCATATTTACCAAAGTAGGGAAAATATTCCTTGACCTTCTCCACTGAAGAGGCCACAGAAAAAAGGTCACTTAGGTGACAATGCACTAAGTAAGGAGGCGAGGCTATTCAAGACATGACTAATTCCAGGCCAGCGCAGCAAATGCATGACACGAGCCAGGGACCTCTCCTCTCCCCAGAGAACACAGTGACCATCGGAAGAGGTAAGAGATCATTTCATCCCATCAAGAACAACAACTAGAGGGAGTGAAGCATATCATATGTCTCTAACCAATGAGTTTATAAGTGACACTAATAATGATCACAGGAATGATCATAATGATACGCATGCTCCCTTGGCATCCTCTAGGGACTGTGAGCCTTTCCTGCCAGGCTTCTCCAGGTCCCTCCCCGTATGACCAGAAGCAATCAACATCCTTCGGTTTCAGGAAGTACCAGGAAACTGGGAAGGAGTCTGTCCACACCTTTCCTTGCAGCTCCTAGTCTGCGGCCCTTTGAGCTCCAGAGGCCACAGAGGATGAGTTTGCTGCTATGGACTGTGAAGTGTGAGGAAGGCCATTTGATTTGACTTCTTGCAACTACAGTTCTTTTGTTTCAGAAAACTAAAGAAAAGCCATGTGCCAGTGACTCACCCCTATAATCTTAGCTACTCTGGAGACTGAAATCTGAGAATCAAGATTCAAAGCCAGCTTAGGTAGGAAAGTCTATGAGACTCTTATCTCCAACTAATCACCAAAAAGCTGGAAGTGGAGTTGTGGCTCAAGTGGTAGAGTAGCAGCCTTGAGTGAAAAAGCTAAGGGATGGTGCCCAGGTGCCTGTACTTGTGCAAAATACATACATACATACATACATACATACATAGAAGGTAAAAAAAGGTAGAAAAGGAAAATAAACTAAAAGGAAAAGGAAGAAGGTAAAGGGGAAATAAAGTCCATGT